GGCGGCTTTCAACACACTAAAAAACATAAATACCATTAAAAGTTATAAAACCAAAAATTAGAAAAATAAAAAACTAAAAAATCCAAGAGGCCGCTGGGGGCACAGCATACCCCTAAGGGGTATACTGAAGGTCCCTACCCTATATGAATTGAAAAGGATGGGTTCCAGAGGTCCTCTTTCTTGGTGGTAGGCTCACGTCATAGAATACTTTTCCTGAGGTATGTGGAACCTCCAACTCTGCTTAGCTCTTGTAGGACATTAAACACCATTCTGTTCCAGTGGGCTTTAGGGACTATTGGTGTGGAAGGACTCCCGTGAGGATAGTATGTTTTGATTATTTATATTTCCTGATTATCTTCATTTGGTTGGGTCTGAGGGTTAATTAAAAGGTAATAACAATAAGAATAGCTAATATAAAAGTTATAACATACTCTAACATACCTTATTGAAATGATCTCCAATAACTTCCCAGATTCTAGACCACTGTAGCCTTATTCGTCCCATGTTATAGTAAGAAATCTCTACTATCTTTTGTAGGCTGAACATCCGGGGATGAGTTGCAGACAACAGTTCATCCATAGAAACAGCACAAAGCCATCTGACAAAATCCACTGTTAAATCCAAATACAATCCACTTACTATTATTTTCAAAACGTTAATTAATTAATTCTTTATTAATTTATTACAGTATTTATATTCTACCACATCTAAACCAATACTTACCAATAGCATTTCCATCTAGTCTGGTAGATCCTGTAAATATTCTGCCAAATAAAACAAAATTGTGCAATACTTTTTTGTAACATGTTTTCTTTAATACAAATTTAGATTACAGAAAAGAGTTCTACTACTAGATATGAAGGGAAGATTACAATTTCTATCTCTGAGAATGGGTACAGGGTTAAAAAAGACATGAAAGAAGGCATAAGAATATTTTCATTTTACCACTCTGATAAGCATGCAAACATACAGATCTAACAGGAAACCACCCAAATGCCTTAGTTTTCCTTCCATTTTAATTTTTTTACAATGCTTTTAAAAAAGTGATTATGCTACCACTTGTACTAATGAACAAAGAATGCTATTTTCTATGTAACAGGTTCCGACACCATGTAAATTACCTGTCCACTGCAACAACAACGCTCTGTGAACTAGTTTCTCCAATAGATTCTTGAATACTTGCAATCTGCTTCCAGTCCACGTTTCCTCCAACTATAAATACATCATTAAAAAAAGAGTATGGACTATGAGAAAGAAAAGTTATTCTGTAAATATTAAAGGTATGTTTCCTAGCATTACTAAAATGGCATTGACAAAATGACTGCTACCCAAAAACTGTTTACAAAAGAGATGATATATTTAGAGATGCATATGACTCCCATATTGTCTGTTTACTGCTGGATGCAGCTGGCTGGCAATACTATAAATAAAGACTAAAAGGATATATTGAACTTATCTCCATCTAATTTATCATTACTTATACATTAATCACTAGCAGAGCAGAAGGAATGAGTCACTGATGGCAAATAAGTAGACTGATCAATGATACAGCTTTTTTCACTCTGACAAATAAAGCTATTTCCACTGCTGGACTAGCAAAGTGAACAATACCCTTAGTCACAAGAGCTAGCAGTAACAGAATCAAGGAACCATGTTTTCCTCCAATGAAGCTGGCTGTCAGGAGTAAGGGGAATGATGCCAGCCACCACCCAGACTAATTAAAGGTCTTCTGTCCCTTGCAGTGATACAGGGGCCTGCTACGCTATGAAGACTTGTAGGATAAACAATTCTTATCAGTCCTGAAACACCTACCTACCTACCCCCCCCCCTCTGAAGTTTTCTCTGAAATTCAGTGCTTGGAGGATGAGGAAATCCTCAGCCTACCAACAGGGAAGGATGACTGACCACTTCTTTCAAGGTTGAGACATAAGAATCTGACAAGCATGACCCCGAGGACAGTTTGTTAGGGGCTGATAATGTGCTTGGTGGTTGGGATTAGCTACATAATGTAATTTCAACAGCAGAGGGGAATAAACAAAAAGCAGTTATTCCATCCATGCCTAAAAACGATTCCTTCATGAGATATGTGTGTTATTTTTTTACCAAACACTTTTCATATTATGCAGATATTCTAACATAACCCCCAAAAGTTTCTGCCTGAATGTTCTGTTTGCACAATCATTCCTCAGTATTTTGTAACAGTATCAGCTGTTGAATTGTCCAAGTGGATTAAAGCTAAACTGTACATGCAAAGGGCATGTCAGTTTGGAAGCAGTAAAAGGAAATATGAATTGGCTCCACTTCACCATTTTTTAAACAGGACCTAGAGATGGAGATTCTAACAACATACCCTACAGGTACAGAACTAAAATAAAAAGGCAATAATAAAACAATTCAGAGATTTATTAAGGTCATGCATTTTTAAGTATCATAATTCTTCCACTCTTTATTCTTTCCAAGAAAATTCACTGACATAGTTATGCCAAAAACAAGATAAGTATTATGTTCTTGAAGTAATTCTTCCACCCAATAGTTAGTATTTACAATACGCACCAAGTCCCAGACTTGCGAATTCATCAGGAGCCTGATCCTTTGTTCCTGTAAATGAACCTTCTCGGCCTCTCACGGTCCCAGATATGTAACGTGGTTTTACTCCAGTACCTATTAATTGCGCTAGTTCAAGCTGACTGATGCATTTCAAAATCTTGAATTAAGAAAAGAATGCTACAAATTAACTAAACAATCCACAAAGGCCCATATTTTAAAATTAATTTTATTATAGCCTAAGCACTGCAGGCAGTCCTCAGTTAACAATGGTAACTGGGACCAGAATTTCCATCACTAAGTGATGCGGTCATAAAGCGTGATGTCCCATGACCTCATCGCTTAGTGATGGCAATCCTGGCACTCCCCATTGCCATCGTTAAGTGAGGATCGTGGGTCATTAAGAGAGTTCCAGGTGGCTTGCAAGCAGGCCAGCGGGCAGGTAAGGCACGGCATGCGGCATGAGTATGGCAGGGCCAGGGGTGGCTGTTGCTGGGTGGGGGAGGGTGCATGAGTGGCCTGCAAGTGTGGCAGGGCATGGCTGTTGGGGGCTGGGGGTGGGTGCAAGTGGCCTGGGAGGTGTGGCGCAAGCGCAGCAGGGCCAGGGTAGCTGCTGTTGGGTGGGGGAGGGTGCGAGCAACTTACCAGAGCAAGCTGCGACCTTCCTTGCCGGCTTCCTTATTGACTTTGCTTGTAGGAAGCTGGCAGGGAAGGTCGCAAATGGCAATCACATGACAGAGGGATGCTGCAACCATCATAAGTGCAAGCCGGTTGCCAAGCACCCAGATTGCAATCGTATGACTGCAGAAGTGCTATGATGCCCGGAATTTTGAGGACCAGTTTTAAGTCTCCTTTTTCAGCACTGTCATAACTCTGAACAGTCACTGAACGAATGGTCGGTAAGCAAGGACTACCTGTAATTAATTGTCCAGTTTCCTTTTGGAGTTTCTTCTCCAATATGCAATATTAAGCAAACATATGACAGTGGTGCTGTGTATTACACATTTTCATTATGTAATTTAATTTTACAATAGATGTTTATTAATATTTTACATTAATCTCTTCATACATAATGCAATAAATAAACTGGAGTGTAAAAAGGTTTGAATACTATGCAATTTCAATTATTACATATATTTCAAAAGATAATTTACCTCATGCCAAGAATTTCCCAAGTAATTTCCATCAGTATGAGCCACAGTAATGAGTGTTTTTATTGTGTCAATATTCTTCTGCTTCATTTCAGTAATACCAGAACTCACAGTAAGTAAAGTAAATCTTGCTAGCGCTTGGACATAAGCATCCCTCTCAAGCTACAGGAAGAAAGAAACAATCTGTTTCAGTACATCAATATTTATTCTGTGTTATAATTTTTAAATGTAATAGTTCTGCATACATAGAAATCAAAGTGAGTACTGAAGCGAGCATATTAAGAAAAGTGGGTGAACTAAAACTGACTGCTCATTTATACTCAAATGCATTATATTTTGTCTATTTATTTAAAATAACCTCTTGTCAAATCCTAGGTCATATCTCCCTATTTTGGTTCTTTCTCTTTCAGTCCTCTCCTGACCCATGATAATTTATTTGTCATTCTCTGCAATTCACTGAATTACTCTCATTAAATTAACAAGTCTCCTCACTGCCAAAATTAAATATTTCCTATACCATTTACCTTGACATCTCAGCTCCTTTCATTCAAGATAAATATTCTCTCTTCTTTTTTGTTTTATCACCTCCAGTCCCCTATTTTTATTCACAATTTTCTCTATTCCTAGGTATCAAGTTACTTAATATTCTGAAAGATAAAACCTTGTGCTCTGCATGCCTTCCTTTTTCCTGGATTAGATGGTATATTTTCTGGATTAGAGTGTATGATTAAAAAATCAGAGCAGCTGTTCAAACTCACAAACCCTCCCATAGCAACTTCTGTCATGAAGAAATGTTTCTCCTGATACCTTTAATTATGCTTTAAAATTTTGATCTGATTGATATAAGCTCTAGTTACAACGAGAACTCTGTTTAGTATGGTTAAATGCTGATTCTTAAGTATTAAGGTTATTGAGAAAAGGCAAAAAATCCTGCAAAAATGCTTAAGATGGCAGCTCATATGATCCTACAGAGTACTCCTCATATTTTGATTATGTTTAGATTATTCTATATGTTGGCTATTACAGAGACTTTGAGGGACAAGCACAATATTTTGGCATAAGTAATACAATCCTCAAGAAACTTACAAACTAATTTTTAATAAGGGCAAGGTAACCCGCAGAAGAATGCAGCTGGATATGTTCACTAATTGCAATTTTGTTACTTCTTTCCATACCATACATTTAATGGATGATACTGAGATATCCAAGTACAAATATCAATATTTCAATATGGAGCAAATACTCAATATTTGGGCTTTTCTCAAAAAACTTACTTTCCTCAGTTACTGTCTACTGACAGTCACTTTCCCTAATGAACAGGTACAGAACCTGGAAAGGTAGACAAAAGTATGATTTTTTTCTAATCAATTCAAAATGTTTTTGGACATTTGTTGGTGCTTTGCTTGTTAAAACAATATGTGCTGCTTCACATATTTCCACTTTAAGCAACAGGAGTCTTTCACTTCTGCCAGTTTTTATAATTTTGTAGAAGTAAGGAGTCCATTTAAATTATTTGCTAGCAAGCACTCCAATTCATTAGTAATGTGTGTACAATAATAACTAATAAAATGCTTCAAAAGAATATCTCCAATTGGTCTAAAGCACCTTTTTTATTACATGCATACATATGATGGGATACACTGTAACAGCATATAACTGTTGTGTATCCATTTCATTTGCAAATAAAATAGTAGCAAGTTTATAAACCTAAGTACATGTTATTACTTATTCTGTAGAGATATGCAAAAGCTGATGATCCAGGAACAGAATGTTCTTGAGCACTCATGAATATTCTCTCTCTGGACTAGGCCAAATTTCCTGTATTTGAAGCCCAGCAGGAGTTTGATGGTTTTCGGAAGTAAATTCTCTGAACTGGAAAGTGAGGTGTTCCAGATGTTGTGTTCCAAAACAAAGAAGCCTGATTGGAGGCTAGACCATCCCAGTCCATCTCATACCACTTCCAGTTTGGAGGATTTCTGGAAGCCACCAAACACTGTCCAGAATGGCATCAGCCAGGAGGAGGTTTAGTATGGTCCAAAAGAAAATGGAACATTGGGAAGTTTTTCAGAATGTCTGTTCTTGCATTGACAAATGTTGTGCATACGTATTATACTAGTATAATTCCACTGACATCAGTTTATTAGGAAAACAAACTCTTTCAAAAGCTGTATCTGAGCACTTCTTAAAAAATATGATGCAATTGATATGCACATTTGTTCTGTACTTATTAAAGTAGCAGTTTTAAGATCTTTACAGCTAATAAAATAAATAATATGTTTAACTAAGGGCATTTTTTCCTGTACTAAAAAATGTAAGAATGCTTGAACTGAACTCAAAATTAAGTTTCAAAATACCACTTTCCATCTGGTCTACTTATGAACAATATTTTAATAAACACAAACAATATAAAGTTATGTTGTTGCCTAAATTCAACCTTGTTACTACTTTGTAGTCATATGCATAATTTATTTGAAGTTGGAAATTAAAAATTACATTCAATTTGTAAAATTACTTTTAATGCTGCTATACTGTGCTTAATTTCACCAATTTTTGTTCTATGAAATTTTAAAATTATTACCTGGATACTGAAAATGCATGCTATCCTGATTGCACATCGAATGCCTTCCAGGCAAAGAGAGGCAACTTCTGTGTCATCACAATCTTGCAAACCCACACTGAAAGCAGCTAAGAATGGTGTCCAGGCTAACTAAAATACAGAATTTTAAAAACTGCATGTCACATTTTAACATTCAATCAAAATGTATAAAGTCAAATATGGAAATGAGATGATTTACATATTTCTTTCATTGTTTGATACATGTTCTATTCAGCTATACTTCCCTTTTTTTTCCTCCCCTGATATCATGCAATTTATTTATTTGGCTTACTATTTCTTATTCTGGGCTAAGCATAATGCTGCTTATCTCAAAAGTGAATAGTGAGATGGCTATTTATATACGTTCTTTCTCACAAAAGCTAATGGTGATTATGTGAGATCTTTCATTCACTTCATTCTTAAAAGGATTCTGTGAGATAAACTGGCTGCCAGTGAACTTCACAGCAAATTGACATTTGCAACTGGGTATCCCCACTCCTAGTTCAACTAGATCCTATTCATTGCATAACTCATAGCTTAAACAGCTGTTTTCTTCTACACAAGAAGAAAAAAAAAAGAAACATGTTTACTGTCTCAAAAAAGTATTCTAGAGGGTTAAGGTTAGGGTTTTATTACATTTTATTACACATTGCCACTCCTCTGCAGTTACTGTACTATAAAGTATCTCCTTCACCTCAACTAGAATTATAAAGACACTTGCTTTCCTGGTGATTTTCACAGTGAATTGGAAGTTGGAAGTGACTAAATGACAACCAGAAAAGACAACATTTGCTCAAAAGCTTAGAGTAGTGATGAGGAATCCTTATTATTCCAATAGTTAGAGGACAACTTAATCTAGAGTGATAGATTAAATTAACAGATGGAATCTTGCTCCTTAACTCATTATTATATGATCAAAACCAATTTGGTAATGAGAAAAAGTTTTAGGGAAGTAATGAGCCTCTAGCTAGGCCATGATGGTAAGACAGGAAGGCTTCACCTAATGTACATGCTTAGAGATTCATACATGGGAGTATGTGTGTTTGTATGAATGGCAAGGCTGATCGAAATGTAAGCTTCTTTAACTGCATAGTATTAAAAATACAATCTTACTCATATTATTAAACCTTATAATACTGTTAACACGTTTTGGTTTGCCTAAAATTGCAATGCTAACATTGTTAGAAAAGTTATTAGGAAACAAAAAAAATCTATTCTCCAGATGATTTTAAACTGTAAAATATTAACTTCCCTATATGAAGCATGCAATGATAAGATAATGAGAAACTTGAAAAGATTTACCTTGAACATGGGTCTTACATGTTCCAAGTGTGTTGCACTTGTAAAAGGAGCTTGAACATGGCTCACTGCTTCCATCAAAGCTTTAGCTGTTTTAGCCATTTGCTCCATTTCTAAATTATAAAGTAGTCGTCTCTGCTTTTCACTAGCTACACCTGTAGGAAATTATTCTAATTAAATTACTCACCATCCACATCACAAAGAATATTGAAGTCATTTAACTGTATTGCACATCCAAATACTTTAAACAAAGATAATCTTTTGACACAAACTGCATTAAATATTTTGTGTTTTGTATTTTTGTTTAACATTCTTTTGATAGCTGTTTATGTGACCAACAACAGAAGAAGCAGCTGCTCTTGAATATGTGGAGGCTTTAGCTGATGCAACTTGCAGTGGTCCAGGTAGTTACAGTGGGGCAAAAAAGTATTTAGTCAGCCACCAATTGTGCAAGTTCTCCCACTTAAAAAGATGAGAGA